TCCCAACACTGAGTCCCCAGCGTCGTCCCCCTTAGAGCCCGGGGCCATCAAGGGATGGCGTGTCTCGTGGTGGGATCAGCCATATTGGCCACTCTGTCCACAGGCTGTTTTCCACAAACTTTTTGAAGCCCTCTTGAATAACCTGCTTTGTTCATTTTCCCTCTTTGAAGTTATTATTTTTTTTATGCTTAGAAAGCAGTACATGAGAATAATAAGCATTTGAGATAGCAAAAAGAATACAGATTCCACTATTCCATCCATTGAAAGTTAAACATTTTGAATAACTTAGTCCATAGCTCTTGAATATATATGTGCACACATAAATACACACATGTACACATTAAGTTGTCTTTTTAAATTACTGGTTGCATTACACATTCTTGTATACTTAAAAAAAAGCTAATGGTATGTTGTAAGATATTCCCATATTAGGAGATTCCTTTTTATGACTGTTAACTTTTTTAAAACTAAAGATAGTTATTGAACAATTTTAAGCAGAATAGAAAAATGGAAAGAAACAAGTAAAATCTAATCTTTCAGAGTAATTCCAGTTAATATCTGGGTGAAATTCTTTACAGCTATCTCTACAATGCCTATATAATTGTATAAAGTTAACTGAAAATAGTATCTTGCAATGCCTGCTGTTGCTCTTACGTTTGTCTTCCCCTTAGCACATTAGCAAGCATAGTTCTGTATCACCAACATAAGATCGTTTCATTGGCATCTACTTCACATGTCACAAAGTTTAAATATTCAGTCACATTAAGAAGAGATGCTCAATCATCACCACCATCAATTTCAGAACATTTTCTTCTCCTCCTCGTTAGCTCCCCTTTCTCTCCTACCATACCATATTAATCATATTAATCCAGTTACTGTTTCTATAGAGCTACCTATCCTAGATTTCATACACAGAAAATAATACAAAACTTAAACAGGAAGCAAATAAAGCCAAACCACAAAACTACCAACAATGACTAGACAAAACATAGAAAAACCTCAATCAAAAAGAAACCAGAAGATATTAAAAACTGAAATAACTTAAAATGGGTCAAAAGGGAGATCAGACGATAAGGTCTTGCATCTGCTGTAATCAACTTTAAAAAGTGCTCTGTGTGATAGCAACACTCAGGCTTGTCACATCCCTGGACTGTTGTTCAGAGGGATCCATGTAGGCCTGCAAATGAATTTGGGATTCCAGTGTCATTCATAGCCTGCCATAAACCAGGTGTTCACAATTTAAGTTCCGCTACCGTTCCTTCCTTCAGATTTAGATTTTTCTAACTTACAGTCCTTGTATCACACAGGGTGATGTGCTTCTTCTAGATGAACTTAGTTGATGCCTCACTTAGACAGTCGCTTGTTTGAGGACAAGACTTTGAGACCCCAGGTGCTAATCTTTCTGATAGCCAGACATCATCTGAATTAGTTAATTGTGCCAGCCTGGCCGATAATCACGTGTGGTGCTGGTTGAAAGGCGGAGGGATAAATGGGTGGTGAAGCCT